AGTAACCCCCAAAAATAGTATAGGTAAAATTGGGCACCTACATTAGGCTTGTTCAGGGTTTCGGGCCTTCGGGCTCAGGGCCAAGACTGGAGCCGGCCGGGAACGGCTGATGGTGTGGGCAACGCTTCCGGTTTCATCAAGGCGTCTTGAAGCCGAATGCAGGATGTCGGAGGGAGATCCCATGGATCAGGGTTTGGGGATTAGGGGTTTAGGGTTTAGGGCGTGTGTTCACGGCTTCAGTTTGGAGGGTGGTTTGTGTGTTTGTTCAAGCTTGTGGACAGGTGTAGGATTTCGGTGCGCTGGGGACGAGGATTCGAGATCCATGTTGCCCTAGGCGTATAGGAGTATCCCGGAATGACATTGTAGTTCTTGAGTCCCTAAACCCTAAACCCCTAAACCCTAAACACCTAAACCCTAACATCCACGGGTCCGGTTCAGAATCAACTCAGCCTTTCAGGGGTGCCACCGACAACGGATCCTGAACGAGACTACCGAAGCGGCTTAAGGACCTGCACAACGATAAACACCGACAGCCAGGTCCTAAGCCCTTGGTTTCCGAGAGAGCCCAACAACATGCATATGGGACACACCTTACATCATCTTACGAACTCGTAATTTCAAGCCTCTTCCTGAACTAATGTAGCAGTTAAGCGAACTGGCAAGTAGGTGATACGTACGTCGAACCTATTTACTAAGTCCGAACATGTCAGTAGAGTTTGCCCAAAAGCTTCGAACTCACATTACGATACCACAACACATTGAAACGGACCCCCGCTCTGGTAATTCCACGAACGACCGCCCCGAGGTGCGCACACTCCCATGGGAGGCCCAGGCGGCATAGGGCCTCCATCCTGGACTTCTCGCAATAGAATGGGAGCAGCTCTTTGGGGCCTGATATACCCTAAACCCTAAACCCTAAACCCAACTCATTGGGGCCTGATATGAGGCTCCGATATACATAGATTGCTACGTTGTCAACTCAGAATGTTGCTACAGGGAAAATCTTTGCGATCTCGAACTGCTGGCTGAGGGTTTATATAGGGAAGCCTAATTTTCAGGACTTGTAGAGCTGGACTGGGCATGACAGTGCAAAGCAAGATGCATGGGAGTGTGTGTACAGACTGCTCCCCTAAGAAGGAAAACTCATGAGGACTCAGGCTATCTCGGTTTTCAAACTGACAGGGCTTGGGTGGCCAAGGTTGCACCTGTATATTATACCCACCAGAAGCTCATTCCTTGTTTAAGCGAAATCTTCCAGGCTGGGGCACACCGAACTTGAACCATGCAAATTCTAGGGTCGAGGGCTTTGAGTTGTTTTAGGATTCTGGTTTCAAGCTGCAGGGGAAAAGACGACTTGCAGGATCACGGGAGGCGACGCAAATAGACGATACTCAGATCATAGTTGGAGTTGGAAGTACTCTATCGTAACTGAGGACATTCCATGCAGCACCGTCATCTACACCCCAAACCCTAAAAACGGTGTAACTGAAAACCCTAAAACCTGTATACTGAATAACTGAGGATATTACATGTAACGCCGACCCTTCCTACCATAGTCTTCCAAGCCAGGTTCTCGAACAAAAAAGCGATGACTGTGGGCTCTCCCCCTCCCGTGTCTGGTGCTTCTGTCAATCCTGCGCTTATACTCATCGTGAACAATCATCATAGTCATGATCATAAGAATAATACGAATACTCATAATCGTCATAACCACAATAATGTTCATTGAAACAATATTTATGATAGACCGCTAAGAGTTGTAGCAACTGTAGCAACCATACGTCTAATGGACAACAGCAGAATGTTGCAGCAACCGTATAAATAGAGCGAGAGCCATTACACTGGACACTTCAGACATAAGGTTTGTGATTTTGAGGCTGAGTATGTCGGCTATCCAAGCCCGATCGCTCACATGATCAAAGAAGATCATGGTGAACTACATGTTGAATCGGGCCTCCGGGGTACGTTCGAACACAACCATGGACGATGCAAGAAGGAACCAAACTACGAACTGCTGACAATCCTGACCTAAACCCTAAACTCAAAAACCATAAGATCCTATGTCAGCAGGAACCCACGGAACCCTCAATCCCACACCCCAAAACTCGAACCCGGTAGCCCGGAAGCCCTAAACCCTGAGCCCTAAAATGCCCTAAAACCCTCAAGCCCTCAACCCACAAGGCAAACCTGTAACCCTCAACCCACAACGCCAACCTAAAACCCTAAACCCTAAACCTGAAACCCTGAACCCTAAACCTGAAACCCTAAACCTTAAACCCTTAACACAAAAGGGTCTTCAGGGGCTCGAGGATCTGGCATAATTGACCCCGCCGATCATCGCTGGTCCCTTTGGGGCCCTGGAAAGCCAAAGAGCGTTATTGGGTCTAGGGTTGAGGGGTTCAGGGGTCTAGGGTTAAGGGTTTAGGGTTTAAGGTTTGTGGTGAGAGGCTTAGGGTTCATAGTTTATGGGTTACGGGTTTAGGGTTTCGGGTTTAGGGGTCTTGGGGTGTAGGGTTTTAGGGTTTGGGGTTCAACCTAAACACCAAAGCCTAAGCCGTTTAGGCTTTCAAGATCGAAAAGTTCGTAGGTTTCAGGATGCATAGGTCGCGGTTTTCGGCGTAGGCGCTGAGGGCTTTCTGCTGCACACCCTAAACCCTAAGAGGCCCTAAAGCCCTGAAAACCGTCAACCGCAAGCCACACTTTACTGTAACACTGAAATGCGATAAAACTATATAATATATATATATATATAGAGGCCTATAATAGCTGATGCCAACTGGAAGGTTCCAGTGTCCGAAACACAGTAATTATTGATTCAGCTGCCCTGCAGTGTAGTCAAAAGCTGGGATGCATTAGCCAGAGCAGACATGGATGTTGCAGAGCTGAAGGGCTATGCTTTACAGTAACCGTGGGAACAGCACGAGTTGCACCAATAATATGCTTTATGGCAATACGGAACATCATAATCTAACTATTCGACTCGCTTGAAGTACATGCGACGCTTGTTCAGCAGGCCCTTAAAGCCAAAGTCTTCTTATCAGATTCAGCTGCAACATATGCTTGAGGATGCACCTCGGCGGTAAGCTGACGCAGGAGCAGCGGGAGCGGTTTGGGCCAAGCGGGCGGAATTCGCAACACCATGCATTTGCCATGTATTTACAACATCTCAGAGGCGAAAGGTCTCCTTATACATTTCATGTTGGTCTTGTTGGGGGCACTACAGTCTTCCCCTTGCACTTCAGGCCTTCTTAGCACACCTAAAGAATCCAGAATCGGAGCAACCACCGCGGGAAGACGGAAGATATAGCAGCAAACAGTGCCGCTAACGTATACTGACTGCAAGGGACCGTGACAGGGGCTTCCGCTCCGGATTTTTACGAATCAAAGCATCTCAATGTCGTCCAGTGAAACGTTCAGGTCCGATTCCACTGGCCGCAACATGCCAAGCACCTTGGAGAAACTAACAACAAACCCTAAACCCTAAACCCTAAATCTGAGGTCGAAGTCCGGTGTTGTCGCAACCACTCTTCATGCTAAGCATCGTGAAGAGCTCAAGGTGGGCTCTGGGGTGGCGTACAGCGATATGCTACAGGAGCCGTCGGCTGTCTTATGAAGACTTCGGAAGGTATGTCGAAGACTAGGGGTGTGGAGGCATTGCAGGCGCGGGATGGAATGGAGGGTAGACAGTCCGGGAAATTCCAAACATTGTGGGCATAGTCGAGCATCGCTCTGCGAGAGGAGCATGGTCTGCGAAAGCAGATGCTCCACCCTGAGCCCCCCAAAAGACCCGGATAGACTGCGCCTGCTCTTACAAGGGCTTGGGTTTTTCGGCCTTGGAGTTCGTCTCTTTGTTGGGTTACCCTACAGGACCCAAGTATAATTTCGGTTAAACCACTAAAAGCAGCTACAATGGAGACTACAGGCAAGCCCTCTAGGCCCCAAGCTCCAACCCTAATTTTCAAATCTCGGTTCTACTTGGAGGTTCATGGGTAGTTATAAGTATGGTTATAAGTCCCCTAATTGGGGCTATAAGTATAGTTACCCTACTTATAACCCTACTTATAACTGCCCATGAACCTCCAAGTAAGTCCCGAAAGCACGAGTGCAGGGCTCAGAACCCTCAGCTCCCTGCAGTCGCCGCCGGGATCACCAGCAGATCCGACTCGCAGTCGTTGATCCCATAGGCCACGACGACCTCAGTGGCTTTTCTCTTAGGCTCTTGGGGGCTTCAAAAATTACTGGGGTTTGGGGGTGAATATGAAGGTACTTTGAAGAAATATATGAGCAATCATTCGAGGATTTGAGTTTCGGGCTTTAGGGCTTTGGTTCCAGATCTTCGCTGTTGGGGTTCTGGGCCTTGGATCAGGTCCTGGCCCTAGAAAACACAGCACAACAGAACTGAGTTGTTCCACTTTGTGCCTCGTGGCCACCAACCACTAGTGTTCTATTTAGGGTCCCTTTACAGGGATCTATAAGTTTATGGCTTTACTTGGGGTTCCTTGAAGGGGATTTGTAAGTTTTTCGGCTGTGCTGGTTGGCAGAGGATCTGCACTTGGGCTCAAGTCCAGGTCCGCCTACTTAGAGGTTCATGGGTAGTT